GCTGCTGCGCCCCCAGGACCCGGCCTCCCCCGCGCGGCAGCCGGCCCGGGGCCGGGAGCGCCCCTCCGCCTTCTCTGCCGGCAGGCACGCTGCACTTCTTTGGGAATCGCTGTTTTGGCACTACACCCCGCCTCCGTTTCGTCTGCTCGGAGCTACTGCATGCCGCTTTGGAATGGCAGGTAGGCTCCAGACCAGGGGTCGGCCAGGCCTGCGCAGAGCTAAGTCTGTTACCCCACAATCGCCCCCAGGAGCTGGCTCTGGGGTGCCCTTCCACTGGCACGGGCCTGGGTTCTGAGGTGATCTACGGCCGCAAGGTCAGTACTGAGCGGGGCCGGGGCTTCCAGCCCACACCGTGGAAGGGTGACTTCTATACTCCTGTTCCCAGCGCTGGTTCCTCTACCCTGAGAAGACACCTGAGTTCCATCCCAACAAGCCCACCCTGGCCTGGCTGCGGGACCCTGGCCCGGTCCGCACGGCCCCTGGAGTGCACAGTCCAGGCTGGTGAGGTGAGTGGGAGGCAAGAGGGAGCTGAGCCAGGCTGAAGGACCCCGGCTAACCCTTGTTCCCGCCCCTCCCCAGGTGCTGTATTTCCCTGGCCGCTGGTGGCTCGAAACGCTCAACCTTGACACCAGCGTCTTCATCTCTACCTTCCTTGGCCAGCCAGGACAGACCGCGGCCAGCCCACGACACCAGCACGTGTCCACGTAGTGCTTACAGATTTTATTACAGGACAGTGGCAGCAGCAGCAGCCTCAGTCCAATCCACCTCACCAGCGTTTCCAGCCTAGAAGGGGGACGGGAGGCTCAAGCCCAGCAAGGTTCTACTGCAAGGAGGCGCTGTCCAGAGCCCACCAGCAGAGCTGACGGGCAGACCCAGGGACACAGACTGTACAGGGCCTGGGGCCTCTGTCCCAGAGCCCTCCTGGACCAGGGTACCAGGCACAACAGGGCAAAGGGGGGTCTCAGTAGTCCTCCACCCAGCCGTTCTCAGAGATGAACGCATCGATGACCTCCTTCATGGCCAGGTTGGGGATGAGCTGTTCCTGGGTCAGAGGGCTCCGGGTCACAGGGTCAAAGTGGCCCACACGCTGCAGTAACAACAGGGTCAGAGGCTCAATGGCTAGGTCTACATCTTAGCCTTCCGCAATCCATGGGATTATTTTTATTGTTGGCTGTGGGGCTTGAAGCCTGGGTGCTATTCCTGAGCCTCTTTGGCTCAAGGTTAGCGCTCTACACTTTGAGCCTCAGCTCCACTTCCAGTTTTTGAGCGGTTAATTGGAGATAAGAGTCTCGTGGTGATTTTTTTCTGCCCAAGCTGGCTTGGAACCGCAATCCTCAAGTCTCAGCCTCCTAAGTAGCTAGGATGGCAGGCCTGAGCCACCTGCGCCCCGCTGCCGAGGGGTCTTACCTGCAGGTGCTCCTCGATGTCTTTACGGTCATAGGTGATACCACTTGGTGTGATGCAAGGCTCCCGCATCAGCTCAAAGCTGATCTTGCCACACAGGTAATCAGGGATGTCTCGCTTCTGCAGTACAGGGGGACAGGGTCAGGGACCAGGTAGGGGACGCTGCCGGTCCCTGCCACAAAAAGGCTTCCGGAACAGCTGCTTACCTTTCTCTTCTCGTCCACCTGAGAGAAGAGCTCATCCATGTCTGCCATGAATTTGTCCTACAAAGAGTTGAGCACCACATGTGGGCCACTTAAGTCTACTCTGCACAGACACACACACAATGTGAGCTAGGACACCCGTGTGTCACACAGGCCCACAGATCACCATGGGCTGGAGCACCTTCAGGCCACACATGCATGCACACAGACCCACAGGCCGGGGGCACCCTCACGTGCTTGGCCTCGATGCAGGCCTGCTGGGCCCGGACATGGCTGTCATCCTCGTCACCTTCATGGTTCCGCTGACACTCTTCCAGCTCCCTGGGGGGGGGGGGGGGCCAGGAGCCAGTCAGATGGCTCTGACCAAAAGATAGCAGGAGCCCGCCCTACCTCGGGCCTCTTCCCCCGCAACTTCCCAGGTGCCAGTGTTGACCTTAAATAAACACCGGCGCTGGCCACTCAGTGTCAGCCTGGTAGAGGGG